ACACACACACACACAAGCTCCATTCACACGACCTCATCAAATCTTAATGACAGGGCTTCAAAAATAATACTCCGCTTTGTATATCAAGCTCAAAGTCCTGGGGAACAGCAAATGGGGAAGGACCTTTCCCTGAAGTTCCTTCCTTTACCTGTAGTCTAGATCTGCCAAAAAGGCACACACTTGAGTCTAGTCACCTATTGAAACTTCATTAACCAAGAAGATTAAATTCAAATCACAAGGTTGGAGACTGAAAAGCAAACACCAAGAGGCATTTCATCCCAAGCTGTCATCTGCTCTTTGGGTTCATTTACCCCTCACGAAATCATTTACTACCCTCTGAAATTGCCTAAAGCCCCACTCCCTTCTCTCTTCTGAGGAGGGTACTTAAGTCACAGTCATTCTGGCCCATCTCTGAGCTTCTTTCATATAACTCATGTGCACTTGGACAAATTAATGAAACTACAACTCTCTCCTGCTGCTCTGGCTGTTGTCGATCTACTTTAGTAGAGTTAAAGATTCGGCCTTCAGAGGGAAGCAGAAAGTCCTTTGGCCCCTCCACTGGAAACCCTATAAATAAGTGGGGCATGCTAACCACATTCTTCTACTGATGTGGACCAGGGCATAGTGGTCCTGGGGTTTACCAGGGTTCCTGCATATTAGGGACTCTGGGCCTGGGGAGCCTCAGTGTAACAGAATAGCATGGCATGTGATGAGAGGTCCTTAAGGCAGTAAAGCAAGGAATATATCTCCTGGCTTGAGAAGACTTGGTTCATCTCATTGCTAAACTTTCTGAAGCAGCCCTGCAGCCACCAGACTCTCCAAGGCCACACCTTGCTGATATCTGGAGGTAGGGCCCCAGCTCAGGAGGTTAGGAGGACTTAGCCCTAGTGCTCCTCACCACCCCACACACACCCCATGACTCAGGTGCCAGATGACCCTAGACAACCTGTCAAGGACCACAGTTCTCTCCGCACCCTCCTCCAGTGTCGGAAGCATGGCCCTGTCCAAAGCATATGCTCCTCTAGGGTGCACTACCCACAAGCACCCTCCTGCAGGAAAGGATGCAAGTCTCCCCCATCACTGCCCCTGGGGCCTCTCACCCTGCTAATCCAGTCAAAGGTCACCTGAGTATGCCCCAGACTTCCTTGTTCTTTCAACAGATCTAAGGCTTTAAGCACTAACACCCTGAAACTCGGGAAGCCCCTTGCTTCTCAGTCAGACCCAGCAACAGCAGTCATCCCATGATGTTCTGGGAGAATCATATGATACATGAAGACCCTAGCATCCCACAATGATGCTGTGCTGGATAGCTTCAGTGTCAACTTGACACACCTGGGTTGAGGGAGGCTCAATTGGGGAATTGTCTCCATAGGACCGGCCTGTGGCCATGTCTGTGGGGCATCTTCTTGATTGCTGAGTGATGTGGGAGGGCCCAGCCCACTGTGAGTGGTGCCACCCCTGGGCAGGTGGGCCTGTGTTGCTTAAGAAAGCAAGCTGAGCAGAGGCCAACGGAGCAAACCAGTAAGCAGCGCTCCTCCATGGCCTGTGCTCCAGCTTCTAGGACAGATGCGTACTCCAAAAAAAAAAAGCATTTCTTCTCAGAGGCTGAGGATGGAAGATGGGTGGGAACTCACAGACCCCTTCCAGAGAGCTCTGGGCTGCCCTACCCTGTCCCCCAAGTCCTAATCCCTGGGTCATGTGACTATGTTAGGGCACATGGCAAGGGGAAATCAACGTTGCAGATTGCAGATAGACTCTGAATTGCTCATCTCCCTGACCTTTATGTTGGGAGATTATTCCAGATTACCTGAGCGGGACTGATGTAGTCACAGGGCCTTTAAATGTGGAAGAGTCTGAACATGAGAGTCAGAGGGAGAGTTAAAGAAACCACACTGAGGGCTTTGAGGACAGAAAGGGGCACAAGGCAAGGAGTATAGACACCCCTAGAAATTGGAAAAGGCCAGGAAACAGATTTCTCCCTCCCTGCCTAAAAAGCTTCCAGGAGGAACACAACCCCACTGACACTTTGAGTTCAGCCCAGTGAGACCCATTTCAAATTTCTGACTAGGTGAACTATCAGAGAGAAAGCTTGTATCGTGTTAACTCATGAAATTTGTGGTAATATGTTACCAGTCTCCAGTGGAGGGGCCTGGGAAACCATGTTTAGGGATTGCCACTGGTGGGTGGATCTTATTCTCACACAATTATGGAACCCAGGCCGTAGTGCAGAGTGTTGGGACCATTAGCCAGGCCTAGGTGGACTATCTCAGAGCTCCTGGGCTCATCCTTAAGAACAGAAAACAGCAATCAAAACCCAATACATAGGAACTAGGAATATAGCTCAGTGGAGGAGCACTTGCCTAAGCATGGCCAAGGCCTGGGGTTTGATACCCAGCCCAATATATAGAGGCCAGCTCTCTCACTTGACAGATAAAGAAGCCAAAGCTAAGCACTGCTTGAGGTCACTAAGGAATGACACGGTGGGGACTAGAATCAGGTTTCTTGGATTGACACTTGATATTCCTTCCACACTACACTACCTTTCCTTAGGATCTCTAGCCTAGGTCTAGACACCTAAGAGGGAAAGCCGAATACCATTCATTCAACACACATGTTGGAGACTAGTATTCGTCAAGTGTTCAGAACACTGTGGTGACTAAGTGCTAGTCTCTGGAGACACAGCTGTGGCACGGGCTCTGACAAGTTCCATCCCAATTATTCACTCCCTAGAGAGAAGCAGTGAATGATCTCTGGGAAAACTAAGGTGGTGCTGGCTGGGGCAAAAATGAGAGACTGCACAGAATGAGCGAGGCCTCAGCAGGCAGGGAGAAAGCAACGGGTCTCTATCTGTGGAACCCAAAGGTATCCTGAGGGACTGAGGCAGGAATTGGGAAGGTTGGAAGGGGCACGGGCAAATGATAGGGACTTGTCAGCCAAGGAGCTGGGTGGGCAGGGATCCTGGTCAGCCTCACCCCACTCACCTGAACCATCTGGAATGGCCCTGACGAAGGTGGGCAGCATCTTCACCGAGGCCGTGGGGTTCGTGTCCTTCCCTAGACCTTTCTCCATCTCAGCTTGGAACCGGGCCATGATGTCCAAGAGGGTCTCATCTGAGAGCCGCATGTGATACAGGAACCTGTCCACCTGGAACAGACACCAGAGTGACGAGGATTGGCTACTGGGGGTGCTTGCCTTTTCAGTCAAAGCTGTGAATTCACAGCCCCACTGGAAAGCTGCACTCCCGACTCTGGGGACAGCTTTGTGATGTGCACTCCCAAACACTCCTTTATCCAAGCCTCCATCAGCTGAGGACAAGGCAGAGTTGGGAGAATAAAATGGAAAGTTGAGAGAGTTTGTGGATTGATTCCTCTGAAGGGCAAGTGGAGGAAGAAGTTCCCCATTTCAGTAGGGAAAGGGCTGGAGAATGAATAAATAAGTTTCTAATCCCCAGTTCAGGCCCTTGACATTGTACCACTGCTTCTCTCCACTGGGGAGGACTAGCTAGACTTTGAATCTTAAGTTCTTAAACTTTTCTCTTTTTAATGGTTTTTTGAGATAGGTCTCACTGTGTAACATTTAGTCCAGGTTGGCCTCAAATTTGGGACTCTTCTACCTCTGACTCCCATCTGGAATTGCCGGTATGTGCTACCATGCCTGGCTTAAAATGGAAGCTTTCTTCCACCCAATTATGACAACAGATAAATCCAAACACATTTCTCTTTGTTTATTGTTATTCTCTTTGTTTATTGTTTGTTTGTAATTATACTCTAAAACCAGAAAACTCAGAATTAAATACCATTTCCAACTGCAGTCTTCCTTTAAATTCCCATTTTAGTTTAGAGAGGCAGAGAGATTGTCTTAATTCAGATAAAGTTTTGGTTTGCTTTTTTTTTCTTGTTTTTTTATTTTGTTTTGTTTGAGACAGGGTCTCCCTGTAGCCCCAGCTGACATAGAACTCATTATATAGACCAGGCTGGACTCAATCTCACAGAGATCCACCTGCCTCTGCCTCCTGAGTGCTGGGCTTAAAGGTATGCACCACCATGCTGGCTAGAAGTCTGATTTTTAGACATGTCAAAGCCTCGCATGATCACATATATCTGTAAACCCAGAACTTACGAGGTGGAGGTAAGAGCATCAGGAGTTCAAGGCCATCCTTGGCTACATAGAGAGTTCAAGGTCAGCTTGGGCTATATGGGACCCAGTTTCAAAAAACAAACAGGAACCAGAGAGATGGCTCAGTGATTCAGAGTACTTGCTGCTCTTGCAGAGGGTTCAGTTCTTAGGACCCACATCAGAACTCACAACCATCTATAACTGAAGTTCAAGGAGATCAGATGCCCTCTTCTGGCCTCCTGGGGCACCTGCACTCACATGCGTACATGCGCATGCACACACACACATACACACATTCACACATGTATACATTGTTAAAAAGAAATCTTTAAAAACAAACAAACCCCCCCCCCAAAAACATCAAATTGCTATCAGAAGTAAGTAGATGTTATTTAAGTAACCAGGAAATTGAAGCAAAAGACCACTATCCCAAAGTGGAGAGTTACAAAAATCACTGTGGTGGGCTCAGTTCATTTGATGGTAGCATGTCACATTAGGAACAACAGATAAGCACCTCTAGTCAATTGCTGATGGCAGTCTAGATTTCCAGGCTCATCAGGATGGATCATGGATGGGTAGGAGGAAAGAGTCCATTACATTTACTGGGTACCTTCTCCACCCATCTAGGTCACAAGGAAGCCTGATTGCAGGCACACTCCTGGAGTACATTCCATGAGTCAGAAAACATGTGTTGCAGTCTACTGCATCAAATGTCCATGACCCTTTGAGGTGTCCAGATAAAACCATAGTTATAGTCCCTAGCTGAGAGATGACGAGGCTGAAGTTTGGCCACTGAGTAGACTCAGCAGAGCAGAACTGGGACTAACTACAATGTAGTGTGGAGAGCCCTCACTCCACTGCTTGACTCTGGCTCTGTTGGGATCCACATACCCCACAGACAAACTACCAAAAATTATGAGCCTCATATCACCTTTGCCAATCTTCAGCTGGGCCTCAGAGGACAGGAAGACCGAATCCAGAGGCCCAAGACAGTGAATGGTCCCATGACTCTCGGGATTTAGTGAGCTAGAGAGAGACCAGAAAACTATTAGAGACCATCAACAAAAAAGGACAATTGATCTTTCCGCATATTTGAGAAGATAGAATATAACCAGGTCATGCTTCATTAGGGCTTCCTGCTCAGGCTGTTTATGACTAATTGTCTGGCAGAGACTCACACAGATAGAGAGAATTGGGTAGAAGGGACATGACCCAAGTAATTGGAGCAGAGGAAGGATGGAATGCCCTAGGTGGGAACTAAACTTGATCCTTTATTCTTATAATGAAGTCCCCAGACAGAGCCCCTAAACCTACTGATCACTGTTGCTCAACCTGAGTGTAAAGAGCTTCTACAAACATCCACAGACTGCCATCCTGTGTAAGTCATTTGGGGGTCACATGTGAGCTGCCATCTAACAGTCATTTAGCACCTTGGGTTGCTGCTGCCCTTTCAGTGAGCTCAAGTTATGACAAAGAAATGTCAACTTAGCAGTTGCCTGTCTAGTCTATCTTCCTAAAACAGTAACTAGAATGTTGGGACAGAAAATATGCTATTTCTAATCCAGACAGGTGATTTGGGGTGTGTGTAAATGGGAACACCTGTCCAGATACAATGGAAGAGAGCTTGAGCAAGCCCACTTCTGGAGAGACCCTCAAGCAAAACTGGGATCGGAGAGCTGACAAGCTTTAAATGAGGAAGCACAAACTTGAAGCTCAGCCTGTTCAATTATAGAAGGAAGAAGCCTGAAGGGGCCCGAGAGAGATCACTGTCCAAAGTTCTCATACTATGGACCCAGTCATAAAGAGAATCCACTCTTTGACCTGCTGGTTTCATCTCTGGGAATTTATTCTCAGAAAATACGCCCAAATATAGAGAATAATATCATCATGGCATTTTTTTTTCATTGAGGGAATGACTTTCATGCTGGGTTAAATCAAGACAAACACTGAGGGAAGAACCTGAATGCTCTTATTTTTATACAGCACCATTTCGATTGTGCTAAAAGTATTCAGATAACCAATAGGAGGGCAAAGTGAAATAGCTTATGACACATCTACTCAGTTTAATATAAGGAAGACACTAAAATGATAGTGACCATCATAGAGCAGTGCACAGAAGAGTGATCAGAACTGCACGCACAGCACACTACTGACATGACTGAAGAAGCACACAAAAGGGAAAAGCACGGGCTTCCCACAGAGTACACAAGGTTTGTGATAAAGGGAAATGAAAATTAAATACACTGAGATTGACGGTAACATTTCTGCTTCTTTGCAATGTTGACTTACTAAACTGTAATAAAATACACACTGAAAACCTAACCAGTCCTGTTCTTATGAATGGACCATTAGCAGGTCAGTGACCAGGCCCGATCCAGTGTTATCAGTAGGTCAAACATATCAATATATTGAGCTGGAAACAAAGCTGTCAGAGAGAGACTTTATTTTTCCTAATTTTTTGAGACAGGGTCTTCCTGCAGCCCCAGCTGGCCTGGAACTCCCTAGTAGACGAGGCTGGCCTTGCTCTCACAGAGATCTGCCTGCCTCTGCCTCCCAAGTGCTAGGATTAAAAGGTATGTGCCACCATGCCCGGCTTAGAGGTTTTATTTTTGCCTTCATGTTGTTATGAGATATATTTCCAAACACCACTCATGGGTCTGAACAGTAACCCCTGCAGGCAAGTGTGGCCAGGCCTTAACAACTCCAGAAGCAGGAAATGGACACTGAGAAACTTAACCACCAAGAGACTGCACTGTGCTTCCGACCAGTTGTTTTTGGTCTGTGGAGAAATGCCCTCACACCTATGACTCAGACCAACAACCATAAACCAGCCTGCCACAGCCCCCAAGGACCTGCTGGACCCTTGTTTAGGGTGACTCCCAAGGATTCCTGACTTTCTTGATGTCCACAGTGGGGGGGACTCGACTGTAGGTATTGATAAGGGTTGACTCTTCTTCTAGAAGGATCTGGAATACATCAAAGGCACCTGTACCTGGGCTAGGGGTCAAACATGCTCTGGCCTTATCCTGGGGCTAGAACAAAAGGTCAGCCAAGGAAATGAAGTGACTTTGCAGAACTAAAGGTTTCAGGGTTTGGAAGACTCCCCTTAGAGGCAGCATGCCTCCCAAGCATGTAGTAAGGGGAAGTGAGCGCTGAAGCAGGCTGTAGAGACCGACTCTGACACCCTTCATGCAGCCAGCAGAGGGCTCTGTGATTTAGTCAACAAACGACAAGACTGCTATATTAAAGCTGACTGATTTCTACTTTTCAGCTTGCTGCAGCTTTTCACCTAGCTCTCTAGCAAAACGAATCACTCAGAGTCAACCCACCAGCACATGAAGACTGCAAGGGGCCACACTCCCCTCTCCCTCATTTTGAAAAGCATTTTGAAAGATGAAAGATCTGACAATTTGGGCTTAATCTTTATTTCACCTTTAATACTTGAGTGACCTTGGCAGAATACAGCTACCCAAAGGACTCCTGTTATCTATAAACTGGGAGATGCTATGCATCCTGGGCCCTGCAGTTGTTAGCAAACAATGAATATGGTCAGTGAAACATGTTTGGGTTCATTTTAGCTACCAGAAGAGAACCCTGATTATCTCAGTAAACCAGGGCCCATTTTGGAAAAGTTTTATAGATTAGTACCTGGGGTCAAGTGGCAAAATAATTCGCACCATTAATAGCATACCACTGGCCAATATCACCTGCTAAAAATAAATATTTCAATTATATTAAAATTCATATCTCAACCATGCCCAATGGTATGACCCTGTAATCCCAGCTAGAGGTGGGTAGATTACTTAAACCAGTCGTTTGAGGCCAGTCTTGGTCACACAATTAGACTCTGTTGCAAAATAATAAATAAAAGTAGTAAGTAGAACCCACATCCCTTTTGGTGCCCTTATTCTACGTGCTTTCAAATAATGAAAAAGCAGATCTACCCTAAATGTTCTGATTCTTCACAAATGATTTACTTCTGTTACGACCTCCCCCCCCCCAAATACCCCCGAACTGGGCACAAATTCTTTCAAGTTTTTAAGCTTGATTTTCACTGGTATTGGCTCCCAGTATCTTTTCTAATAAGGTCTCTTAAATCTCTTTTTTCTTCCCATGCTGTGAATGGAACCTAGGACCTTGCACAAGCTAGACAAGCACCCTTCCATTGAGCCACACCCCAGTGTAGGGAGGGAATCAGCTGGTCTCTAGACTCCTCAGCTTCAGGAGTACTTACCTTCTTGATCTGATCCTCCTTTAGCTTGGTGAAGTAAAATGCCATCAAGTGTACCGCGAACATGTTCCCTAAGTTGGTTGCTCCTGAGCTAGGCAGAGATTTCTGTATAGTGTTTACTCCCACTCTCTGGAGTGCTGCACACTTCTAGCTTGGACCTGGAGTTAGATGCTTTGGACTAAATACTTCCAGCTGCCTGGTTCAATGATTAAACTTTGAGCGTCTCTGGTCCCTCCCTCTGCCACACACTTAATTGTCTAACAGAGAGTCTGGTGGGAGCTGAGGGCCAGTGGAGGGAGAGGCTGGGAATTGATGGATTGTTTGACTATCTGAGAAGCGGGTGCCACAAAATCTCGTTGCTAAGCAATGCTCTCAGGCCAATGCTCCACTGGGCCCTTTCAGCAGAGGAAAATCTTCTGAGAAGTTAGACACAGAACAAAGCCAACTTTCAAATGGTGGAGCTGCTCTGCAAATAATTTCCAGTCTCAGGGTTTCCTCTTTTCTCAACAAGGTAACATAAGGAAGACAGGCAGACCCTCTTGAAACACTGAACACTGAACAGTGCCCTGGCCAGGTCCAAGAACGCTGAGTAATACCTCTGTTGGTGGCAGATCAGATCTCTTAGCTCACCGCCCACGGTTAACGAGAAACAATCAATAAACATTTATCTACTCAAATGGTAAGCCAGACAGCCTCTATTTCACAGGTTGTAACTTAGCAAAAATGCCTAAGAATAGACATCACCAGGCTTCACTGGGAAGCTGCTTCTGGGAGAGTGGGAAAGATGTACTGCCATTGAGACCACTTGGTTTACTCCCCCACTTCCCTCACCATACATGATGTGAGAAACAGTGTGTGGGAACAATACACATTGCACTCCTCCTGGTCACTGGCTAGTGAAGTCAGTAAGACCTCTGTTAATGGCAGGGAACATGGATGGAGCACTTTGTTAGGCCGGTCTTATAGATGAGGAAGCTGAGGCCCAGAAAGGCTAAGTGACTGTCTCAAAATCAAGCTTGTAAAAGCTCAGCCAGGTAGTAACCCCAGGAATGTGATTCTGGAGCCCAGCTCTTTTTTTTAATTTTATTTATTATTTTTATTTTATGTGTATGAGTGTATTGCCTGCATGCATATAAAAACACCTGTGTCCTGAAATGCCATGGAGGTCAGAAGAGGGTATCAGATACCCTGGAACTGGAGTTACAGATGACTGTTAGCTGTCATGTGGGAGTTGGGAACTGAACCCAGGTCCTCTGCAAGAGCAGCTGCCCTGGAACTGGAGTTAAGGTCAGTTCATAGCTGCCATGTGGGTGCTGAGAATCGAACCCAGGTCCTCTGCAAGAGCAGTCAGTACTCTTAACCACTGAGCCATCTTTCCAGCCCCTGGAGCCCAGCTCTTAACCAGTACATAACACTGGCTTTCAAACTCCTCTTCCTCTGTATAGGCTCATCTGATAACTACTGGCAGATTCTGCTGGGCTAATGCTAAGCATTTCAGCTAGTCTGCAAAACTAAATCAGAAACAACACTTCAACAGAATCTTCCCATTGGGAAAAGGGGTTTCCTGAAATACAAATTCCTGACTCTGTTCACCCCAGTACTAATCTAATGCTCTATAAAAGTAGCAGCTGCCTAGATGGTCTGCTAGGCACCGTTTCTTGCTCTTCCACAGTACAAATGGCCTCTGAATAAAATGTGTTGTCCTGGCTGGCTTACAGCCTCAGCTTTGTCTGCTTTGCCGCTGCACAATCTTATTAATAAAAACAATGACTGAACGATTGCCTGGGTAGAGACCTTCAACAGCTGCCCCTTCAGAAACCACCGGAAGGCTGGCTTAGGCCAGACTAGCTTAAAATGACTCTACATACTTTCCACAGCTTCCCAGATGAAGAAACCCCTACCATCTGTTTACCCCCAAAACTATGACTTCTTTTATTGTATAAGCAAACAAAAGATTAACCTTCAGTTTCAACTCAGTTCCGCTGTATTTAGAAACAGCTGAGGATTAACATCCTGGGCAGGTCTCCTGTGCAGGAATGATATTGTTACCTGTTATAATTCCCACAGCTGAAAAGTAACCTCTGGGGTGCATGTGGCACCACCTGTGGCCATTTATCCCTACCAAAGGGCAGAAAGAAACAAATCCATAAACAAAGTCTCTGCAATCTCTTGCTGCTTGTGGGCCAGGCAGGCAGGCAGGCAGGCAGGCGGGTGGGCGGGTGGGCAGGCAGGCAGACAGCCTTTGGAACTTCAGGAAAATGACAGTAGAGGCTTTTCATGTGTTATAGCATGCCATCTTCCACTAAGCACATTAGCACCTACCTTCCAGGTATGAGTTAGCTAACTAATCCAAAAGGTTTAGTGATTATTTAAAGATCATGTGCATGGAGAGCCCTCTAGCCTAGCCCCCTTATTTGATAGAATCAAGAAAAAAATCATCATGGGGCTAGAAAGATGACTCAGTGGTTAAGAGCACTGGCTACTCTTCCAGAGAACTCAGGTTCAGCTCCTAGCACCCATATGGCAGCTCACAAATGTCCCTAACTCCAGTTCCAGGATCTAACACCCTCTCCTGGCCTCTTTAGGCACTGCAGGCATGTGGAGCACTTACATACATGTAGGCAGGCAAAAACACACATAAAATCCAAACAAATCTTTTTTAAAAATATTATTTTATGTGTATGAATGTATGGCCTACATGTATGTAAGTGCACCCGTGTCATGTAATACCCATGGAGGTCAGAAGAGGGCGTCAGATTCCCTGAAACTGGAGTTACAACAATTTTTAGCCACCATCTGGGTCCTCTGCAAAAGCAGCCAGTGTTTTTAACCACTGAGACATCTCTCCAGTCCCCCTGCCCCCAACAAATTTTTTAAAAAGATAAAATAATTAGGTTAGCTTGCCATTTTTCCACTGATTATCACAATCCAAGCCTTGGAATGTCTCACCCTTAAAGCTCTATGTAGCCATTCAGAGATATCTGGGGAGCCATCTTGTAAACATGAGTTTTGCTTAGGGACACACATGAATGTTATCACTATTCCAACAGGTAGTTCATATTGCCCATTTGACCCTATTCTTCCTCAGAAGAAAGGAAACTTATGGAGCTGGAGAGATGGATCAACAGTTAGGAGCGAGCACTGGCTGCTCTTGTGGAGGACCCAGGTTCCATTCCCAGCACCCACATGGTGATTAACAACCATCTGTAGTTCCAGTTCCAGGGGATCTGACACCACCTTCTGATCTCCAAGGGCACTGCACAACATGGGTGCACTTACATACATGCAGGCAATACACTCATACACATAAAATAAAAATAATAAATATTTTAAAAAGGAAACTTTCTATACACATGTCCATTTCCATAGAGCTCCACTTTAATACACATGGTCTGCTTTTCTTCAAGTACAGGGCCTGGGAGGAGGCCCAGAAAACCGAGTAAAAGCTTCCTATTTATTTAGCAAACATACAGTGCTTACAAGGTCCTCTGCAGTATTAATTCCCACAGCAGCTGTCATGCTCCCCGTTCTACAGATGGAGGAGCAGACCCCAAGAGCCCACTGGTATTTGGTAGAACAGAAATTCAAATACAGGCAGTCTGGCTCCAGATAGAGCGCACACTTAACCTGTGTGCTCTACTGTTCTTGTGAGCCTACAAGCAGAGCACAGGGAGACTTGACTAGAAGTGCTGCCCACAGTCCCAGAGAGCACAGTGCTAAGTGTAGGAGCCCTGGGTTCTCAATTTGCCTATCCCATCCCTCAAGGTTGAGGGCCAAGTTCATATCTGTAAAGGATTCACAACACCTTGGGCAGTCACTCTGGGATTGAAATCAAATTATCAAGATCACACAAAAGAAGGCAGGGAGCTCACCCTAGGCACACTAAAAGCATGTCCTGACTGAAGCCTTCGCCAGGTCAGGGACCCTTCCTCAAGTTCCTACTTCATCTCATCCCATTTGGTCCCTGAGGTTAAGAAAATGTGTGTAGCCCTTTCCATCCATTCAGTAAAACACAACCATAAACCATTTGAAGGTACCAGTTCCATTTACAGGATTACAGATACAGTTGGAAATTTTGTAAAAATGTTACTGCTGTTATTTCACAAAACCGACCTTGAGTTCTGCACTGGGTTCCTCTGAATGGTAAGTCCAAAGTTGAGTTGCCCACAACATAATCAGTCTGGTCTGCTGATACCCAGCTTGCTGCACAAGAATGAGAATGTATGAGCGCAAATGTTCACACGGGAAATCAATGCAGAAACTTCCTCAGTTACTACGGCATCTCTGAGGGAGCAAGCACAAATGAAACAAATGTTCAGTTCAGCCACTTTCTAAAGACTGCCACTAGCCGCTTGTTATAGAATTACTCACCTGGAGAGGACAAGGAATGCTGGGGAAGAAGCTATGACACAACTGCCTATTTTTAACCACAACTGTATATTAAGAGTCCTATTTGTAAGACAGATGACAAGAGCTCGACAAGCCACACAAGGAAATGCAGTTCATACAGCTTATAACATTTCTTGGTGTAATTATGATCTCTATCGTGGAAGTTAACCAATTTGTAAAAGCAAATGAGATTTCTGATTAGACACAGTATAAACAAGGACAGGGACACAAAACAGTGATCCACAGGACCTTAACATAACTTTGGAAGTAGAATGCTGACAGAGAAACAGCTTAGCGGACGGAGCTCAGAGCTCAGTGTTTGCACTGGGCAGTTCCGCTGAAGCTGAGACTGGGGTAAAAAGCTATAAAAAAGGCAGCTAGACCCCAGGTCTGTTCTCTGACCTACAGGAGGCTAGATGTTTATTCTCTGTGTGAAGCCCAGGCACTTTGGGAAGTAGGGTGAGGTGCAAGGCTGGAAGTGGGGCAGCCAAGCGAATTCCTCAACTTGGCCAGTGGGACCCGAGCCTCTTTTCAGTCCAGCCTCTACTAGCAAACAGCTACCCACAAGTAAACACCTTTCCTCTCTCATGAGAATGTTATGTTTCCACTAACAAAACTAAGTTCATGATGTGTCTGGGTTTCAGAGTGGCACAGCTCACATGTGGAAGTCACAGGACAACTCTTGAGTGTCCTTCCTCACCTTCTAGTTCGTCTGAGACAAAGTCTCGTTTGCCAAGGTGTGTCTCAGGCTAGCTGGCCCACAGACTTCTGGGTATTCTGAGGTCTCCATTTCCTAACTCACCAGAGGCACTTACAGACGTGAGCTACCAAATTAGTCTTTATGTGAGTTCTGAGGATCTGAACTC